GTGGTTGAACTCTGTAAATTGTAGTTAGAAGCTTGCTTTGAGAAGTTTTCTGACAGTCCAGTGTTAGAATTTACCTAATAAGAATTCAACCTGCTGCTCAAATGATACAATGCAGTTGTGCTGGCCTCTGGGTTACCTTGTTTCCCTTTATTCTGTGTTAAAGAAAAAGTAATTTCTCTGCTAGTGCTCAGTACATCCTTTTTATTTAAAAAATGGCTGCTCTGAAAAAAAAAATAGTGCTCTCTTAGAATTATCTCATGATCAACAGTCCAAGATACAACATATTCCTGCATGCACTTCAAGCCCACTGCAGGGAATTCATACTTGAACAGGGATAGTTGTCACCATAAAAGATGGATTTTGAACATTTCATACAGCCAACTTTGTTGGTTAAGACAGAATATCAGTTCCACTGAGAAGTACAAGCCCCAAAGCCTAATTTTAAAGAAAAAAAGTTTTGGAAAAAGGCACAAATAGGAAGATATTGAACAAGCCATATGTAGATAGAAGGAAATGTATTCCACCATGGTGAAAATAGACAATAAGGATTCACCACCCTCTAAAAAAGGACCCTTCTTTATTACCCAGTTTAACAATAAACACCGGGCAATTAGGAGAATAATAACTAAACACTGGGGCAATCTTTTTTAATGACCTCTAATTACAAGAACTCTCCAGACCAAATCTGGTTTTTAGGAAGGCCTGTAACATAAAAAATGTTTTCCATTGTAGGAAGGTACCGTTGCAATTCGAAAAAAATGTGTACAAGTTAAACATGGACAAAAAATCTTTTAAGATTTAAAGGGCAATGCTTTTACCATCAATTAATTTTTTACATGCTTCACCAATTATGTGATCTATTTAATCACTTGCCTATACAAAATGTGCTAAGTAGGATGGACTATCAGGATGCTCTGTACTAGTTTTGGAGGACATAGAAGGTTAAAAGAGAAGGTCCCAAAAATTAGTATTCTGCGACATTTTGCCTTATGTCATGACTGTGATCCCTCACTACTTCAGATTACGGCCATCCAATCCACACCTAATACCCTCCCAGAAGGGGAGAGATTAGAAAAAAAAAAAACTGTGCCCAAGAGACATATTGGATTTTTAAACTTAAAACAATTTATACTAAACCTAAAAACATTGTTTACCTTAATGCATTGTTTTTAGGTAAAAAAAAACGTTTTTTACGTTCCCTTTGTACCCCCTGTGAGCCCTGTAAATGGCTGCATCTCTTCTCCCCTTACTTCCTCTTCACAAAGGGACTTGAGCCAAAGGCTCTTGCTGCTGTCAATCAAATGCGGTGAAAATAAAGTGGAGGTGGAACTAAGTCCCTCTGTGTGTGTCTGTGCAGTGCGGGAGCGAGCACACAGAATTTGTTCCCATAGCAAACAGCTTGCTATGGGTACACACAAAGATGAGGAGGAGCCAGGATCGCCAGCGGAGGACCCTAGAAGAGGAGGATCAGGACTACTTTGTACAATATCACTGCACAGAGCAGGTGAGTACTAACACTGTAATAGCTTGTCACCGGGGGGTCTAAACAAAAAACTGGAAGTCCACACTATCCTCTAGTACAGGTTCCTGATTACCACCCTTTCCATTTCAGTTCAGGAAGGTTGTTTCCTTTACCTCCCTCCTCCCTCCCCCCAGGTCTCTTCTCTTCACTCATGTTTATGCAGTCTTCAGCCCTCCTATGACATGGTTCATATGTTTTTTCTGTGATAGGGTATATGTCAGGGCATGATATATTCTTTTTGAATTACCTTTTCTAGATCTTCAAGAATATAAATGTCAACCACAAGGCTTACCACCCTCTCAGCATTATTCATGTTTTACCCTTTTGGTCATCCCACGTTACGCCTGGCTGCCCATGGCCCATTTCCCTCTTATTTACATTTATTTTTTACTTCAAGTCCACTCTATCTTTTAAGGACACAATTGTCAGTTTTTGGTGAATAGCACCTTCCACCCTCCCCTTCCCATTGGAACAGCCCCCCACCTTCTCTTTTTTTATACATATGTTATTGATTCTGTTATTAATTATGGAATGAATTATCCATAACTAGTATATGCTTATATATATTCTTCTTTGCACATATTATATTGAAAGTTATGTTTATGTGGATTTCTATTTTTTTCTTAATTTCATTTGTGCTTTAGCACTTTTTTGCATAATGTACCTAGGTACATATTTTTGGGAAACCCTTTTATTCACTATATCTGTGATAAAGGTTTACATCATCATTTACCCATTTTCTTTCTGGTTTAAACAGGCTCATTCACTCTAGCCTGCCTGTGTGCCTGTCATTTGACCATTCTTCTGCATTTTTTACACAGCCACATACATATATATATTTATTCTATTGCAGGAGGTGAGCACTCAATTTAAGTGTTTGATCTTATAGTTTAATTGTTATTTGAGTCCCCAAATGTTTTTTGCAAACACAGTACATTTGTGACCACTAAACTGCATGCAACCACAGTATTATGCAATTAGGTGTGATACAATTTGTAAAGGTAGTGCTTGTGCTACTTTTTTTCATACCCATGTTTCTGGCAGCCCATTGAAATTGATGGGCTGTCAAAACTGGGGCACGATAGAATGCACGGGAATGTGCATGTTCCAGTGTGAACTGACCCTAAGAGTACATTCCACTTAAAAATTAGAATAAAAGAAGCCTTGAAAGGCTAAGAAAGATTTTAAACACCTTTGAGTTCTACAAATGTGTTAAAAGATCACTTTTGTGGTATCCTTATGTGAGAATAAATACAGATAACACAACTTGAAGAGAAAACCCTAAATAAAACAGTTAATTGTCTTGTTTATTTATTTGCAATAGAAACATAGAAATATATAATACAACCAATTCTAACTTTAACTCTGCTATATTAGCTTAAGACATTTTAGGATATCCAATACCAGACCAAACTGAGTTCTGCCGTGATTATAGATGCTGCAGTAGCCACAGTGCAGAGCCATATACCCTGGAGAAAGTCCATAGATATCCCTTACAGCAGTGATATACACATTGTAAATCCTCTGGTTATGCCAGCATGCTGCAAACACCTGCATAAGTATTGATCCTGTGACTGCATTGTTCACATAATCATGTGCATTTCATAGTTGAACGTGCATGATCTATCTGCTTATGCTGATTTTAAAACAGCATATGACTAATTACATGATCTACAGTGAAGCAAGTAAAATATTTCCTAAGACCAATTTAAGATAAAAATAATAGGGAACACAAATAAATATAAGTCTCTCTGATTTTCCTAAAGTAATCAATATTCCTTTGAGTTTTTATCTGTCAAGGGTGAGTGGCTTTATTGAGTAACAAAAAATGAAAATCAATGACCTTACTTCTTGAAAACACAACCAATAATGAAGTGCCCTATAGGAGAGATTTAAAGGACATTTTGTCATAATTAGAGAGAATGCTAAATCTCAGGCTGTGGCATGTCTACTTTCCAGGAAGAATTACTATAAAAAATCTGTTGGTGTTAGCAGCATCTTAGAATAAACTGCATTCAATGTTCCTGTGCATTGACTCCCTATAATAACAATCCATACAAATAGCATTATCTAGAGGCATTTCAAATAACACATTTTTCTAAACAATTTAGAAGTTATTATCATCTGAAAATTGTACTTGGTATAATTCTCTTTTTTTTACTTTAATATCAATTAATAAAAGTGCATTAATGTTTTAAAGAATATTTTGATCTTTGTATTTTTCCCACAGCTATTCAAATTTGGAATAATTAAATGCACACATCTGGAGTTTGTACTGTTTAGACATGCATGTGTGTAAGCAAAATGATTCAATAAAAGAGCATTTAAAATGTGTGCACATGTTTTAAAATATACTCTTAGTTCAGATAGAGATAATTTAAAAAATAACTAAAATAACACTATTGATACAGTATATATCAGAGGTTTAAATTATATGTAAATTCAATCACTAAAGGCTCTGCAGAATTTTCAATGTTCATGTGACACTAAGAAGACGTATTAAACATTGTGCAACCACAACAGAATTTTCAATTTGTTTTTACTTTTTGTAAGTTGCAAAGGTTTGGTCTGGGACTATTCTCAGGCAAATCATAGAAAGTATACCTTTTTTTGTATTTTGTTTTGTGCAGCTAAACCCCCAAATAAAAATGTAATACATTACAGCTTGCCAATCTTTAACTGTGGTGGCCGCACTCACTTTTTTAGGCTGTTTTACTTTACTTTCACTTGGTGATCTAGCCTATATGTCTGTTATTTTTCAACTTCTTTAACATATCAAGCTATCAAGCAAAAGTGGCAATTAGGGATGAGCCAAATGTACCTGGGTCTCTTTTGGAATGGGCTCATTAAACATTACTGAAGTTTGAGTGATAAATCCAAACCCATTGCAGTAAATAGGAGCTGTGGTGTGTGGAAGAGCTGTGTAAATCTCAGAACTGGTTGTACAGAAACACAAATCATTTGACAGGTAACAGGGCTCTGTTTTATGTATTTCATCTCTGCTGTTTTCCTGGAGTTCAACTTTAATAATGTATGTAATTTAATGTTATGTAAACTATATATAATTATCACCAGAAGTCAATCAGAATTTCTTTTTACCTTATTAATGTATAGTAAACAATTATAATAAGGGTTGCTAACGTTGGTAATACTATGACGACCATTAGGCATCACTGCTGCCATGCAGCTATCTCGTCCTGGGTCTAGTTTCCAAAGGGAGACTCCCCCTTATTATATTGGATACTCTAGTTTGCTATGATTATCCAAAACATATCAGCATATTAACGTGTGTCTACCTCAACAGTTCCTAAAGTGCAAAACTGAAGTATAGACATGTACTTTTTCTTGTTAATGAATTTAAGCTCTTTGCAAAACCAGCATTATTAAAGTACAACACACTGTACATGTATACATTTATAAACTATTCTCATGATATTTACTCAAGTTTCTTACACGCATGTACATTTTGTATACATACCTTGAGAGTGTTATGTTTCGTTTGTAATAGCTGCTGTTTCAGTTTGATTTCTTCCCTCTTTTTGTCATCTGAAATTTTTAGCTGAAGGTTATTCCCTCTTTGCAGCAGTTCCTTCACTTGACCATCATTGTCTTCACTCTGGGGGATAAGAAGAGTATGTAGGAACAGTTATCACTAAATCACAAAATTAAAATGGGACAGATCATTGGTAGATAGTGATTTTAGAGAAAGGATTTGTAGCTTAATATATAATATTAGAATTAAGAATAATCTGCTTGTGGTTGGGGTAATTTACTAAAACAGTAGAAATCTCACTTAGTCTAGTAAAGCTGTGTTTAATTAAGTCACATGGCAAGGATTCTAAAAATTAGGAAAATAGGAATTTCCCTTATATAAATGGATGGTTGGAGTAAACATAGCCATTAAAGTTACTTTTGTGACTGATTTAGTTTCACTTTGTTACCGGGGTCTGACTTTACCTGAAATAATGATTAGGCTTCAGCCTTCAGCTAATCTACTATCCAATGAGAATACTGGTCACTAAAGCAGTATAATTGGACAATGAAACAGCAGTTGACAGGACACTAAATCATTTTCTGGATAATGTGGTGTCTGCTCTACAAGTTCACTTTAAGCTAGATATAAAAGTGAAGAAAATCTACAATCATGCTGTCAGGAATGGATTCAGCACTGGTGGTGGGGCTCTCCTGCCGTGTGGGCTGCAGTACCAGAGCTGACCAGCGGGTGCTCTCAGCACTGGTGGTGGGACTCTCCTGCCGTGTGGGCTGCAGTACCAGAGCTGACCAGCGGGTGCTCTCAGCACTGGTGGTGGGACTCTCCTGCCGTGTGGGCTGCAGTACCAGAGCTGACCAGCGGGTACTCTTAGCAGCCAGAAGCTCACAATCAGCCAAACCTGGGGCTGATTACAGAAAGGTGTATATAAGGCATGACCAGGCCTGTGCTCTGGGCCTTGGTGTATGTTTTCCCCCATGAGCCCCTGTATCCTGTTCCTAGTTCCTGTGAGAAGATACCTTGTTGCCGACCCTGCCTGATCCTGATTCCTGTTGACCGTCTCCTGTTCTGACTACTGGCTCATCCCTGACCATCCTTCTGCCTGATCCTCTGTACTGCGCTGTCCGTGAGTTACTGAACCCGGCTTGTGACCTTGACCATTCTCTGCCTGCTCCTTTGATACCTTGCTGCCCGCACGTTGCTGACTTGGCCCATCTGACCACGCTCACTACTCTGCCATCCATCCATCCTGCACGGATCCAGCCGTACCTGCACATACCTCTGGCGGATCCCTCTATCACTAGCAGGTGTACTCAGGGGCCGCGACCTGGTTCCTGTCTGCTCCAAGTCCATCCCCACCATCAGGGGCCCTGGTGAATAGCAGACTGGGACTTAGACTCCGCGCCCTGGGGAATCCTGCCCTGAGGACCGCTAGAGGTACCACCAGGCAGTCGTTACAGAACCCTACGGCTGGCCTGACCATTCCACCTCTCCAGCCCTGACTACGCCTGTGTTCCTGCACCTCCTAAGATTAGTGGCAGGTTAGTTTGCTCACTGTGCGTTTATATATATATATCTGGGTGGCTAATAATAACCTGTATTATACTATACCTGAAACCTGCGTTTCCCTGTGTCAGTCCACACCTTTCTGGTCATTCCTTGATTCCTGACACATGCACTTTGTCCTCCACCTGCTAATATTCACTTTTGCTACACTCACTGATCTGTTTCTCTATGGGAACCCTTAGCAAATACCCTGTTCTTCCAAGTGTGGAGGAGCATTTGATAGAGAAGTTACAAGCTTAAACACTGTCACATAGTATATGGGAGGGGACCCTGGGTTAACCCTATGTTTTCTCTGGTACCATCCGACACAAAGATTACACAGGGATATGACTGTAAAGAAGCCAAGAAATGACCGGAGAGTGTGGGAACACTCAATATCAGTGGCTGGTTATAAGGACAGCTGTAATTTTGCCTTATAAAGACATTTTGCGTTCAAGAGGGTAACAGGGTTATCTTTAAGCATGAGGAGTGGAGTTATGTGTTAGAATTAGGTAAATGTTAAAGGTTTTTATCAGTGTTAGGGTACCATTTTCTTTCTCAAGTGTTTGTTTATTGGTTGGAAATAAATTAAGGGCCCATTCACACAACTGCAGAGTGTTAGTGCATTAAAATGTGCAGTACCGTACATGAAAGTGTGTTGCATAAAGGCAAGTCCCCTCATTTAAATTGGCTGCCTAATACACCAAACTGAATCAAAAAGGTGTATTTATAATTTTCTGGCAGTGCACCATACCACACCACAAGGCCAATCCTTTGGTAAGATATGTTAGGGAGGCATTTGCAACAATTGGTACCACATTGCACTAATGCATATACTAGGCTCTCGTTTTCAAGGTTTTTCAGAATGTGGGTTACGTTTCAGTGTTATTAGATGTTAAAGTTATTTTACATACTATTAGATGAATTATTAGAGTTTTTTAATGGTAAATTAAGGTCATTGGCTCCCAAAGATGTCAACCACTGGGTTCATGACTGTGATTCATGGCCGGGACTCAGTGATCGGTGGAGCAGCTGACAGGGGAGAGATCTGTGAGTGTAAACAACACAGATGTCTCTCCTGTCAGAGGGGACGTGCTGCTTTCTATCTCTCTGCAATGCAGAGAGATAAAAAAATAGCATGTCTCATTAGTAAAACACAACAAAGTACACAGTAAAAACATTCCCTATCACACAGTTAACCTTTTTATCGCTCCAGATGTTAACCCCTTTATGCCCAGTGTCATTAGTACAGTGTCAGTGTGTTTTATTAGCACTGATCACTGTACTAGTGTCTCTGGAGATGTCAGTGGCAGTTATTTAGTTCCCACCCAGTGTCAATGTCAGAATGCCTGCCACAATCCTGCAATCCCACTATAAGTTACTGATCATAGCCATTACTAGTGAAAAAAAAAAAAAAAAATTCCATTATATGTATACCGCCATTTGTAGATGCTGTAACTGTCATGCAAATCAATTAATATACACGTATTGGAGTTTTTTTTTACCAAAGCCATGTAGCAGAATACATTTTGGCCGAAATTTATAAAGGAATGTTATTTTTCTTACTTTTTTGATTGGATATGTTTTATAGCAAAAAGTAAAAAATATTGTTTTTTTTTTCAAAATTTCTGACTTTTTTCACTTACAGCACCAAAAATAGAAAACCCAGTGATGATCAAATATCACCAAAAGAAAGTTCTATTTGTGTGAAAAAATTATATAAATTTCGTTTGAGTACAGTGTTGCATGACCGCACAATTGTCAGTTAAAATAGCGCAATTCCATATAGCAAAAAATGGCCAAGTAGTTAAAGGATATCAAAAGTTATTATAGGCCATTTTATGAAGAAAAGCTGAATATAGGACAGATTTATACCACATATATCATATTTGTCATGCTGTGTCATGCTGTTCAAAAGTATCAGTCTCAAATACTTTACCGTATCTTTATTGAAGTCTTCTTCAGTGAGATTCACTCCAAGTCGAATTTCAGCCTCCAGTGGTTCAAGCAATTTCTGGATATCAGAATGAAACTGTTCCAGCTCTTTGGAAGAAACCATAGGCTGTATAAAAATAAGGCATGTATAAAAATTTGCAGGATCCATTATACACTGAAGTACATATTAGATGCATTATTAAAATCATTTTTTAGACCTCTGAATGTAAATGTTGTAATCTTCAAGGAGTTTACACAATTTATTAAGCACATGGTGATCTAAGAATATGTTTATATATTATATACTACAAAGAGGTAATATAAGTACATTACCACAGTCATTTACTGTATATATGCCCTTTCTGGGATCTCCCTACTAGTGTTACATAAGAACATTCTCATATGATTATTATTTTTGTAACATAGATAAAATGTATTTTAATTTATAAAGTCACTTATGAAGTTCCTTATTCTTTCAGTAATCTTTCAGTAATATATAAACTGCAGAAACATTAAAATGATGGTTGCAATTAAGTGGTTGTAAACCCTTACATATACCCAGTATAGTGACTAGCCTCATGTGATACACAGAGATTAAACAAATTTTCCTACCTACATTTTACCTGTTTATCTACAGCCTTTTCTTCTCTACAACCATTCAAAGTGCAGAATTTATACAGATTATTTTAACTTTCAGAAACCAGGGGGCATAGAGCTTAAGTTACACTCTTCAGAGCTCAGTGAGGAGAGCTCTAACAGCTGATTGAAGGGAAGGGACACACCCCTTTTACAGAGCACACAGGAATAGAGATGATGCTTTCAACCACAGGCTGTGTGCTGGAGCCCCTGTCACCTTTTTAACCTCTTGGTGTCAGAAAGACTTGTCAGAAGTGGCTCATGGAGATAGCAGAGGAATGAGGCAGCAGACAGAAACGACACTTGCTCTAGATTGAGCCAAGTACACACTACAGAGAGATATAATCACATCACAAAAAATCTATAACTAATACCCTATTGATTAATAATTAATAATGCTGCTTGAATAGCAATATATATTTCTGAACTGCAATGTTTAGCTCTTGCTATGCACAGCTATTAGGAGAACAGTCTAAACCTATTCTGTCTTCATGTCATGAGTGATATTAGTGATATTTAAATTAAGCCATGATTTTACTAACGTGTGAAGTAGGCAGGGCAGGATTTCTGCATAGCCAACACAGCCAGGATCTAGGGCAGCAATCTGCAAAGTATGGAACTGAATTGTTAGGAGAGTAGGGCTATAGTGTGTCCTGTATTCTAGCTGTTGGTTTTAGGTGTACAGAGCAACTGTCAATTTTAACATATCCATTCTCAGATTGTTTTGTGGAGTTATGACATCTGACCTTGTTAGTATGATATTAAGGCTGGTTAGTCCACTAGTGTACGAGGGAACAACCCAAGGGATTTGGTTTATTAAGGCAGGAAGTACAAATCCAACTCTCAAAGCAAGGGGTAGTCAGCTAATGTAAAATAATCTTTTTATCTTACAAATCAAATCATGTACAGAGGAACTTTAAAAAATATATATATCTACACCTTCCCATGTTTGAATGTTTAAAGCGAGTGCAGGTTCAGCTTATTCACATTTTTGTTAATCAGTCACGTAGCATTTAGAGGTGCTTTAAGTGTTCCCTTGGCAACTTCATACACTCATGAATTCCCACAAACATTTCCACCTATCAATATCATCATTATTTATTTAGACATGTAATAAAATTAGAACATAAAAAAAGTGAACAGTTGTTTATACAGTATAGCATATGCTCCGTGATGATAAACAGTCAATGCTTTTTATTTAGTGTTTTTATTCTAGAGATAACAGGTTTGTTGTCATTTTTGCAAACTGTAAACACTTTAGCTTTTAATTTATACTTAAAAGAGAAGCACCATCCCCCTGGGCAAAAGCAAAGGTAGTTTTTCTTACTTCAAGATAAAATCTTGCTAATTCTGGACGTGAGACACCTGTGGTTTACAATAAGTGAATCTTATGTTTAAAGTGAAGTTTTATGCCAGTATCATATCTTCATTACAAAATACATAAATTATACAACAAATCCATCAAAATTTAAATCCATGTGATTTACTTGTCTCATTATCTATTCTGTTCAGCCAAGATAACCGCAAAGGATGCATTTATTCTAGATAATGTGATTTTAGAGAGTCTAATTTCTCTAGAACACCTGCTTTTGAATGGAACTAATAGAGGAACTATTTTAATGAACACTTAATGGGTATTACTCTAGTGAGTGACTTAAATCTTATTTTGATTAAGAACATCAAGATGGAAAACCATTATAAAAAATTATTTATCAGGTCAGACAAAAATTGTTAAGACAAAGTCCCTGCTTTTCACTTTACAAATATTGAATGATAACTCCATGGCAAAGTACAGTATGTACCATATTAGTAAATTTGTTTTAAAGAAGAAGAAAGTAAATTTAGCAAAGTTAACCTCCCTAGCGGTCTGATTATGTTCATATTTCTGTGCTCAAAGTGGTAATTTTTTTGAATGGAAACATGTATTATTTTTATTGTAGGCCTGTAATTTTTAGGAATAACTCACTGAAATCTGTCCGAACAAGAGTCTAGTAAACATCCCGGGTATGTTAAAATGTGAAACACGAAATCATAAATTATAATGTAATAAATAATCATAAAAAATAAAATAAAATAATAATAAATTTAATTCAATAATATAATCAAACCAAAAACACTGAAATTTGAAATATAGCGCCAAGTTCGCACATCACTGAGCAAAGTTGCAGAATCGTTTTCAGTGTCTGATGACGAATTTCCCCACGAATCATTATCACTCAATTCTGCAAGTGGTTCTAATTTACTATCCCTGTTGTCTAGCTGGTCTAAAACCCGCTTTTGACCTAAAGGGACGCTTTTTGGATGCCATGGACATTTCTCAGTTTCCAGGCAGAAAGAACAGTAAAAATGTAGGCAGGGCACAGGACAAAGCACTCGGGACACAATGTATGTGAAATGGTTTGATACAGTAATGTTTTACTATGTGATTTTAGTTAATTTAGTGAATGTCACTTTTTGTCATTTTCAAATTTCCCACCAGTTCCGTCCCCCATACGTCCCGACGTCGCAGGGGACGGAACCCAGAAGACAGATGCCAGCATCCGCCGGAGGACATTGCAGGGGACACTGCAGGAGGGACTTTGCGGGAGCGCAGGACAAGGTAAGAGAAGAACAGATCCCGGAGCAGCGCCACATGGAAGACAATAAACACCGTAACATAGGGTTGCAATATCAGAAAATATATATTAAAAAGTCCATAGAGTACATGGCATAAGCACTATATGTCTGCAGCTCCCCATACAGTGAAGCAAAACTCTGTGACAATATAAAAAGAAACACAGCTTAAGTGCAGTATAAAATACAAGTTTATTAAAAATAGCTAAATTACTACTCACAACTGAGGTAAGTATATTAGTGTTTATTGGATCCCAAAAGGACATATGCAGGGGCCGGTGCGTGTCTACTGGAGTCCGGGCACCGAAGGTCAGGTATGAACGTGAGTCGTCAGTCGAGAATGCCATAACCACCATGGAATGCACGGAAAACCTTTTTCAGCAAGCTGTTTGTTCTACTGTGTTCTTTCCAGTCCTTTCCAGGCTCATAACAAGTGCAGACTCTCCCATCCACTAATCAGTCTAGAAAGGACTGGAAAGAACACAGTGGAACAAACAGCTTGCTGAAAAAGGTCTTCCATGTGTTCCACGGTGGTTGTGGCGTTCCAGACTGATGGCTCACATTCACACCAGACCCTCAGTGCTTGGACTCCAGTGGAAACACCGGCCACTGCAGATGTCCTTTTAGGACCCGATAAAAGCCCATATACTTACAGTACTTCAGTTGTGAGAAGTAATTTGGCTAGTTTTAATAAACTTATATTTTGTACTGCACTTAGGCTGGAGCCCCCTTATGTTTCTTTTATAATAGATGTTAAGACAACCACTTTATATTAAAATGGGAAGTGACTGGGGGCTAAGTGTTTTGTTCAATTGCCATTTGGGAAAAGTGATGTATAAGTGTGTATTTACAAGTTAATATACATTTATGAGTACACTAATACTACTGCGAGACCATCCTATAGAAAGTGATCTCATTACACTGGAAACATCTTAAGCTCCGTTCACACCAATGCCTTTTTTTAGTACTTTTTGCAGAAACATACTACAGTCCATTTAACATGGTTTCCTGCAGAGCATGTTCACACGCTTTTTTGAGCTGCTGCATTTTTGAAAAGGGGCAGGGACTTTTTGCTACAATATATAGAGTTCAATGCACTACCATGCTGAAATGCATGGTTGTCTGTTTTTGCTGTGTTTTTCCCACATTTTTTGTTCTGCCCAGCAACCAAAAAAATTCCACTTTAACAAAAGAAAAAAAAAAGAGCTGAACAAAATGCTAAACAAGGTAAAAACGTGCAAAAAATTAGTGTAGCAAAAGGGACATAAAGCAAACTGCAAAGGTGTGAACGAAGTCTTAATTTGAGCTCTAACGCACTACCTCAAAGCCTCCATATGGTTGTCCATTTCCTCACAAAACTGTCAACCAAAGTTTGACCATGAAACTATATTTACAAATTTTAAATATATTTATATTTAATATATATATATATATATATATATATATATATATATATATATATATATATACCGTATTTACAAATTTTAAAATTTAGGGGGATCTTGTATTTATTTATCACCTGGCATATTTATGTTAGTATTTGTGCACCCCTAAGGGTAGAGGTGAAGTGTGCTTGAAAGAAATTGGGTAGTAGTAGTGATTTAATTTATTATATTTACAAATTTACAATTGATATGCACAATGACAGAACACTTTTATGGCACCTAAAAGTTGAATATTCAAGAAATATTCAAGATAATACAATATATTACAATAATTATGAACTAATAATAAAAACTAATTTTCCACACACACAGCCATCCTGTAACATACATCGTTTGTAATAAAGTAATTCATCTTCCTGGTTCAGCAATACAATTTTCTTTATCACCTCTCCCCTTCCAACCTCCTCATTGGGCAGCGACACCACCTTCTCTATTGAGCAGCAAGCTGATTTAGGACAGGACTGCAAAGCTAAATCAAGAAGTAGCTGAAGGATCTTAGTGTTTGGCAGGGGTATGTATCAGAGAAAGAGTTAACCAAAATTACAAATTCTTAGGCAAGTAAATCAGTAAACTTGTGTGCATTTTAATTTTTTTTCAAGCTTATTGCATGGAGTTCCTCTTTAAATTAACAGGGACATGTTTACTGTATGTTCTTAAAAGAAACCTGTTAATATATGGCAGCCATCATTGTTAGGGAAATCAGAAGGTCAGAGGTCACCTGAAATATTACAAAGTGCCTAAAAATTAATTTCCTGCTTAAGCCTAATTGTTCCTGATTCCCTGTGAAGAAACAAAAAGTTCAGTATTCTATGCATACTACAAAGTAGTATAACCTGGTGTAATGATAATGTTAATGCTAATAATGCGGCTAAAGAAATTGTGAAGCAGAGCACTCATTTTTTAACCTAAACAGATATTAAAATGACAAGACAAAAATTAGTTGTTTGAAGATTACATGATTTGAATTTTAATAACTATGCAAAGAGGTCATTGAATTAGCAGAAAAATTGTCTGTTGGGGAACAAGCTGAATCCAGTGCGAAGATCCTTAGTAGGAATAAATAGAGAAATCATTGATAACATGAGTGATTAGTGAGATCAAAATGGTGAATGTTATGGTTGTAATAATACTGGTAGTAATACTGGTAGTAGGGTCACATTTGCCATATTAGAAATATAATTTGTGTTTGGCTGAAACCAGAATTTCTCATTGAAGAATGGAAATTCAGATGTGCTGTGAGGAGGACTGTGAATGTGCCATGGGGAATGTGCTATAAAACTATGCTGATGATAGCAAATTAGCTGTGAATTATTGCCAAAATGATCATCTAGCTCTTATACAATAATTATTTACATTGCACATATATTTAAAACTTTCAAAGAGAAACCCTGCCTACCCTTTCCTAAAAATAATTGCCATAATGATAATCTATTTTAAACCAAAACTGCCCATGGACTCCAGATTGCTATCAATCCCTGAAAGGAATTAGTCAGGAGTGTCTGTTGAGGTCTAAAACTGACTATAGACAATATTAAACATCTTTATGTCCTATGAAGTAAATCTCTGGTCAGACTATAAATGTAGCTAAGCAAGCATAACAACAATTATATTTTAAACATTAAAACAATATCTCATTGATGTTTGTGGTTGTAGGCACTGTGAAGCAATTCATCCTCAAAATACACAGCAGAAGCATTGCAGTCCTTTTCCCTTGGCAGCTCAGTCACCCGATCCCCCCTCCCCCGAGTGCCTGATCTGAATGTATAAGAGAGACAACAAGGTTGGAAGGATGCTGTCAGCGGTCTTTGATCATTCAGTTCTCAGTGTTAGAGGTGCGGGGGACAGATACAGCATGACATCGATGCTGCAGTCACCTAGGTGAGTATGTATGCTTATTTTTTGTTATTCCTGAACTTCTCTTTTAATCTAATCTTTCTACTAATTTTATTTTAAACATGTTTATGTGTTACTTATCAGTACCTTTACTGTTTTAATTCTTTGTGATATTGGAGTAAATCGTTGATCAAGTTCAGACAGCTTGGGTTCGACTATCTTCTTGCATTCATTACCACGGTTCATCATTAGCTCTGCAGCTTGATCATGTACTAAATCCACCTTCGGCTGAATATCATTCAGCTCAGACTTCAGTAGCTGCAGTACAACACAGAAAAAGTCAGAAATCACTGATGAATATGATGAAAATGGCTTCAGATGAAGTGTGAATAATCAAAGCACATTTTCTTTAAAGCTGCTGAGATAAGGTACATTTGCAAGCATGTTCTAACATTGGTGAGCTGCCTGTTTCATTATGCGGCAACACAGTGCGTATTTACTTGTTAATTTAGCATAGTCACACATCACAAAGTCAGTACAGACAAACCTTGCCAGCGGTAATAGTCTTTATGTCATTGGGGTTAATTTACTAAAGTTAGAGAATGTTCATTTAGCTCAATGAACTTCAATGATCCAGTTCTGTGAAACAGAAATTATTTTTTTTCTTTTTTCATTTTATTTTACAGCACATGATTAACTGATTGAAGTGAATAGTAAATGCATTTCATTGATCCAAATGAGCATACATCTCTTTTCTGGAATTTACACCTCCAACATTTAGGACCCCTTCAAACCACTGCATTGTGGAAATGCACATTATATGTGTTGGGTGCGTTGTAATTCTATTAATTTTGAAAGGCACCCCAAAACACTTTCACAACACACCTGTTATGCACTGCACCACCTCCCAAATTAAGGCAGGCCATAGATGATGTGACTTTCTTTCCTACAACCACAGGTCGCAGGAAAGAAAATCATTCTATTCCACCCACCAGCACAGTCAGTGTTGTTGAGAGAATCCCTCCCGCAATGCTATTGTGTTCTCCCTGTGGGGGAACGGGGAGCCTGGCAATAATCCCATGCTAGAAATCCAACATATTGTTTGAACCCAAATCACTTGATGAATTGAATTGGGTACAATCAGCCTTCCCATACATGGTTCAAATCTTGACAAGTCCCTGCTGAAACTGGCCAAGATATGAACCATCTATGGCTAACTTGAGACAGTACTATCCATTATGGTGTGCTTCACTGGGAAAAGGGTGTGGGCATGTGTTTTTTTCTCTAGTGTTTTAGTAATCAATTACAATTAATTGACTGCCTTAACCACTTGCCAACCAGCCACTGTAGAAATACGGTGGAAGGGCGGCAGGACTGCGCAAAACTACGTTTTAAAACGTGATTTTACAAAACAGGTAGGGGGTGTGCGCGAGGCACGCCTCCGCCCTACCTGCGCCGTCGATTGCGGCCTCGGGTGTCAGTCGCCGGGTTATGGCCGGTCATTACCGGCCGTGTCCCGGCGATTACCGGCAATCACTGACAGAGAGCACGGCTGCAGTGTTTACACTGCACCTCTGCTTTCTGTCAGTTCCCTGTCAGCTCCTGACATGCTGATTCGGAGAGAAAAGTTTATCTCTCCGGATCAGGATGTTCCCGTGCAGTACACACCCCCACCCCCTAGTAAAAAACACTCACCTCACACAGTTAACCCTTTCATTGAATAAAAAAAGTTAACCCCTTCCTCCCCAGTGCCATTAGTACAGTGTCAGTGTTTTTTTTTTTGCACTGATCACTGTATTGGTGTCACTAGGGATGTCAGTGACCCCAAGTCAGTTCCCCTCCAGTGTCAGAATGTCCGCCACAGTCCCACGGTCCCTGCCATAAGTCGCTGATCGCCGCCATAAGTCACTGATCGCCGCCATAAGTCGCTGATCGCCGCCATTATTAGTATAAAAAAAAATTAAAAATCCCAGTATCTTTCCCACCATTTCTAAACACTATAACTTTCATGTAAACCAATTAATTTACACGTATTGGGGTTTTTTTTTTAGCAAAGACGTCACAGAATACATTTTGGCCAAAATTTATGACGAAATTTGATTTTTAATTTTTTTTACTGGACATGTTTTATAGCAAAAAGTCCAAAATATTGTTTTTTTTTCTCAAAATTGTCAGCCTTTTTTTTTATAGCGCAAAAAATAAAAAACGCACAGGCGATCAAATACCACCGAAAGAAAGCTCAATTTGTGGGGAAAAAGAACGTAAACCCTCCCAGATAGCGTCAGATTGCCCGTCAGTACACCAGTCATCACATTTAACCCCTTGATTGCCAGGAACACGCTCATGCACAGTAATCCTCCATTGCTAGTATAGCATCTGAACGGATCAATATCCTTGATCAGATCAGCACTATACCAGCGTTCGCATTAGTATAGCGTCCCCAAAAACACAGCATTAGTAGGATCAGCCCCGACACCTGCCAGCACCTGCGTTTAGCCCCTACGCTTACCCCACCTTCTCCCCCCAGCAAGTGCAGCGTCGGTAGATCACTGTCACTTGATACATTGCACGCAAAATCACAGTGTTCGCAGAATCAGGCCTGATATCTGTTACAACTTGTCAGTAAATTTTGATGACTCTCATATGCAGCAGAGTGCCAGTACTAGTGCCGTTCTACCTTTTGGTGGACTGGCGAGCACCAGCGGTCTAGTAAATCTTGGTCTTTCACATATCTCTTACATTGTAAGCTCCCAGGATCAGGCCCTCCTAACCCTCTTGTATTGAACTGTATTGTTCTGTATTGTCTCCCGTTATATTGTAAAGTGCTGAGCAAACTGTTGGTGCTATATAAATCCTGTATAATAATAATAATAATTATACCAGCACTGCAGTATGACTTGGTGACGTGGCGAGTCCCATAAGTCCAGTACAAGCCGGTGCGGTGGCGAGCACAAGTATTGTCCCGCAGCCACCAAGAATTCGTACACCGGCCCATAGAGCTCCTAGTATCCTGCTGGATGTGCTTGCAAATCCCGATTGGCAGCCCACAAATTCTGCAGCACCCGTACTTCCCCCATTCACTGCCCAACCTGGAATTCAGCTGGAAATAGCAAATTTAACTACTTCCCTTGATTTTTGGAGCTGTTTTTCACAAAATATCTGTATGCGTTGATTGTGGATCAAAGCAATTTATACGCACATTTTATCAACCAAAATTCAAACCTTGCCAGACCAGTCACATGGAAACTCATTACGGTTTTCGAATTTACATTTTTTTGGGGCCTAACCCTCAACATGGGCATTACTAAAAGAAACTAATTCCAGTTGTATTGGTCCACAGACCCAATTCATCAAATGCCGTGTTCTCTGCTGCTATGGCCAGGCATAGATATGAGAGTATAATGTGTTTTATGCATTTCAACAACACACTCTGTCATCCTCGGGGTAACCCTGAATTTGTCCGGCTCCACAAAATTCAGCCCCTCGTAAATCACCTTAGCCAAAAATTTGCAGATGTCTATACTCCCCAGCAAAAAATCTGCATTGATGAGTGTTAGAATTACTGCCTTTGATCTGACGTTCACAGCGATACCTCACATGTATGGTGCATCTGCTGTTTACATACCACTACAGGGTCAACGCTTGTGCTAACAGGTGTGCGTGCATGGGAGGGGCGAGTTTTTTTTTTTTTTTGTCATTTTGATTTTTTTAATTATTTTTACACTGTACCTTTCATTTTTTTTTTTTATCACTTTTAATGCTATCACATGGAATGCAAATATCCCCTATAACTTCAATGGGCATTGTCATGTATCTCGACGGTGTGACACAAGTAGACTTAGCCTTTAACAATTTTTTAAACAGGAAGGTGGGGGAAGCCCCACCCACTAACCCCCCCCAAAACAATAATTAATTAGATATATATTGAAAAATGCCAACTTGCATTGAAAATGCCCATTTATCTCTATAAGAAGAAACAGCTAGAGGGTTCAGATGGACTTAAGTATAATACCTTCAGGGTCTCTTCCCTTTGTAGTGGTCTTTGTTTGTCCATCTCATCTAGTAATATTTCAGCACGGTACATCCAAGCTGTAGTGCTAGCAATGCCTTGATCAAAAGATTCCATTTGCTTTTGATATTCCTGAAAAACAACACAAATTCAAATAAACTATGACAATACTGTATAATTTGCTATGATACTGAGCTTTGCAAAAATATACCAAAACAAATGCCGTATAAGTCTTACATAAACCTAACTTCTTATTTTGGCTTTAGGAGGAGGCTCCACATTTCCAAATGTGTGTAGACCTACCGATTAACTGTAGATGGTCTGATATGGGTACGCTCCCTCATTTTAGCCTACTGATGGAAATGTCACTGCTTGATGGAATATGGAATGCGAATGTAAATCAAGGATGCACACATCATAAGTAGCGCAACACAGCATATTACCCTATATATTACTAATGCTGCTGGAAGTTGTCAAGTAAATGAGTCATTAGGCTAAAGCAGTGACATCTGAAAGTAATTAAAGGGGCACCATATGTAGCTCTTTATCTAATTCAAGCTATGTATCAGTAAGCAAAGTTAGATGTTCCATTAGCTCCTTACTCTCTTTATTACAGAGTTGACAACACCAGAGACACTTGCTAACTGTCCTGTCTGGAAACTCTGCCTGCGCCTCATACTTATGCTGCAAAAAGGGAGCCTTAGTACCACTGATTAACATCATATGCAGCATAATCACCATTCACTTCATCCTGCTCCTAATGAAGCACTATGTTGAGAATGAGGCCATACTGATGATCTTCTGACAAACTGCCCATAAGTCTTGGAAGACCAGACTTTGATTGTAATGTGTATGGTGATTATATGCACTGACATTTAGACTTTTAGCCTCTAACTGGGGTGTGTTATCAGGTTCTGATGAATGCTATGTGGTGTTATTTTAATTAAATACAATGCAATGTTTACCCTTTGAGTTGTTTTGGCCATCTGTATTAAAAAAGACATTTGTTTTTAAACAAAAACTTTTTTGTTGTGTGTATTTGTTCAGGGGTTACACCTTAAAAGTCCTACAATGTGCTTTATTTTTTACTCAGGGATATGGTGTGACATCTACATTCTGTGATAAATCATCTCAACTTTATTTTGTTTTTAAATTTGACTTGAGTTCCACTATAATTACGTTAATTAAAATTATGTTATTGACTGCATTAATTTTTTCCTTCCTTTTTTTTTCCATAGCGAAAAAAAGGCACAATATTATTATGTACTATTATGTAGAGAAAACAGTATGAAATCTATGAGAAGTACAGACAATTTAGAAGGTGTTCATACATAATGCAACATGTATTTTTTTT